GTGGGGGACTAATTCAAAGACCACCTACTAATCTTGCTTGAGTACTCTAAAGCCTCACTTGCCTGTTTACAAGGGACTTTTAAGGAATCCTAGAAGATGGGCTGTAAGAAGGTTTGGTTAGTAGCTTAAGGACTAGCTACTTGGGTTAGTAGAATAGGGTTTTTAGATAATTAAGATAAGAGGGTAACAAAGACAAGTTAATGTCTTGGTTAATTTAGTAAGCTTTGGTTAGTAAGGACAATTCAATGTCCTTGGAGGATTTGTATAACTTGAAGCAGTCTGAAGCTTCCAATTAAGAGTTGAAGATCAAGAATAGAAATAATCTCTTTACTGCTAGTCTAATTACTGTAAGCTCTACAGGAGACGTACCACAGTCTCAAATAATGACGCCACTAGCTCTTGCAGTCTAGGGTTAGTCAAATAGTGAACTCGTGCACTATACCAAGGGCGTTTCCCCTTTGGGTTATTTGAAAGTCAGAGGCTCTACTGTGCTTAAGGAATTTCTTAGGCTTTAAAAAAAGAAGTCTATTCTCTGAGAGCTAAAGAGCTCAGGGGATTAACTGCAGGTTTGCTGCTAGCTAAATCCTTGAGAGTGTGTGTGGTGCTTGGTGGGTTCTTGTGTTCTTTTCTTGCTCTCAGAGAACCTCTCCTATTTATACCTTTCAGTCTGTTGTTCCTTAGCCAATAGCAAAACTGGCTCTTTTATTCTACTGTAATTACTAAGCTACTTCTACTTTTATTAATAAGCATTTGTCTGTATTAGTCAGCCTTCTGTCTGTTTTACTAATGTATTGGTAAGCTATTACTAATGTTTGTTAGAGTATTACTAATGTTTGTTAGAGTATTACTATATTTTGGTAATTTATAGCTGTTGAGCATAGACCTTTACTAAGCATAGTTTAGATTACTAAGAAGCTGAGTCATATTATCAGTCATTGATTCACTTTTAGTAAGCTTGAGTGTTTATGCTTACTTTGCAGCTCTGAGTAAGCAGTCTCTTTCTGATTTGAATACCTAGCTTATTCCTTTAGTTTTCCTATACTTATAGTTATGGCACATGACAGCGTGAGAATAGCTCGCACTTCTTGGCCTTGAGGAACAAGTGATTGTTCCTCAGCAGAGTAAACACGATCCTCAGATGCACCTCATGCTCCTCAATCGTGTCCGAGAACAGAAAGATATCATCCATGTATGGATGGACAAATATCCTGATATATTGATGAAATATGTGAGTCATTAATCTCATTAATCTTTGGAACATCAAAAGGGCATTGCAGTCCCCTTGTTGCATCACCTGGCTAACCATAATGCCATATATTGTTGAAAAGGCTGTCTTATGAAGATCATTGGGTTCTATGCAAATCTGTTCATATGCGTCAGACAAGTCTAGCTTGGATCGGACCAGAGCCCTTGTGACGTCTAGTTTTATCTGTTCTTGGTCAGGAAATGAAGTGACATCCTTTATGGTGTTGTCATTCTGCTTCCTGCAGTCGACAACCATATGGATGTTGCTATCTCTCTTGGGGATTGACAACATAGGAGCCACCTGCGGCACCGCTCTGTATTCCCACTATCTGGCATTGACATACCGGATGATCTTCACCTTCAGCAGAGGCTTTAGGGCCTCTGTGCATCTAGGCGGATGGTAAGCTATCTTGAGATGATCATCTATCAATGGTATACGATGATTTATCTCGCGCATGGGTGGGAGAACTTTAGGGACACCACTTGTGATGTCCTTGAACTCTTCAAACCACTTGCACCGCTTAGTGTCCAAGTCTGTATTATTAAGAAGAGAGATAATCTCCTCTTGAGGGGGAATATATGCTCCCTGGGCCTTAGGCATGGTGATCCCATCCTCAGGCTCAGTTATTCTTGCTTTTTTCCTTTCTTTTGCCGAAGCATACTTGGCTGTTGGGGCGTAGCGTGCTTTGGTGGAGTTTGTAGTTTCTGTGACCATGAACTTGGTCGTAGACAGAGTACGGTTGTCCTTGCTGTACGCAGCCATTGTGAGTCCCTTAGAGCTTGCGCTGTTGAGTCAGTGTTGCTCCAATTGGAGACTGTTTGCCAGTTCTCAATCATTGACAGTCTCAATAGTGACTATCTCCAAGTTCATTTGTGATGACAAGGCAGTCAGATGGCGTTGCACCTGTCTGTCACCCAGAATGCAGTTCCGTTGAGTTTGTCTTTTGGTAGGCCCATCTCCCTCCCCTTCAAGCGCATGTAAAGTGGTGGAGCCTATGTGAATGGTGTAGTTGCGGAAGTTCAGGACCATCCCAACGTCCTGCATGATCTGGGTCCCTATGATCAGATCATAGTGATCTAGAGATGCAACGTCGAAGTAAAAGTTGTACATGGCGGAACCAATAGGTATGGGCAGCCACACGCCATAGTTAACCTTCAACTGCAAACCTGAACAACCCAGTTGTAGGGTGATAGGGCTTGACAACGGGAAAGGCTTAAGTCCCGCGAATTTTGTGAAGTCGGGGCTTACAGTGTCAATCGTGCTGCCGGTGTCGATAAGAATGTATGCCTCGAAGTTATTAATCTTGAGGTACACCCTCATCGTCTTTCCTTGCACTCCTGGGCACTCCTGGGCCGTTGATGTGGCCTTCATGGACGAGCAATAACCAAAGGTCTTAGTTATTGCGCAGAACATATGGTCGCTCTTGCCTTCGTTGTAGTACTCGTCATTAGGGAACTTGTATGGTTCCAGAGGAGGGGCAGGCTCAAAGAGGTCTTCAATAATCTCCTTGTAGCGCATGCACTCAATGAGGTCTCGACTCTCTGCAACCGTGGGGACTGTCTGCTCAGGATCAAATAGCCTGGCCATGCTACGTCCCTCCAGACGCTGTGCGGTGACCCTGCTGTGTATACAACGAGTTACGTTGTGGTGACAATTATTGCACATATTAAAATGCTTGATAACCAAGCTCATAGAGTCATCTGGAATATACATGTCAATAGCACAGACTAGAGTTTGCACTTCTTCTTTAAGCGCCATATTGTTGAGATAATAATTCTCGAACAATACATTCAGAGCACCGGCACACAACATGAGGTTGTGATAATTATTCCTCATGCTCTCCAGCTTGTCTCACTCAGTCTGATCAAGAGGTACATCTGTGAACGTTCGAACGAACTGGACGTCAAAGAGCATAGGCTCCCCAAGCCAAAGTTTGGCCATTGTTTCAGAGGCTCGACACATGGCATCACGCCATCAACGCGGTGCCCTCACTCGCTCAGCCTTAATATTTCTTATGAGAGAACTGAGAGTAGCATTGGTTCTCTCGAGATGGCATCGAATATGCTCGACAAATTGGTCATGGGACATAAGGTCTGAGAGGGCCAGCACGTCTTCCGGGTTGACCGTCCCCATAATCTCATTCTGCTCTTTGTTCAGTGAATAGACATATAACCAGCCGTGTTTATTGCCTGGTTAAACGTTACACAGGACAGGGTGTCAGGATCCGCCATATTGGCAGATAGTGTAGAAGAATCTGGACTAATCATAGCCTCTGGATCCTGAGTGCTAACTGGTTCATTATCGAGTACAACTGTTGGCTGCTCAGAAGGTCTGGCATCATCGTCAGGTGTAGATCACCGCCAGTCTGCAATGTTTATTGCATTGAACTCGTATACAGATTTGGACTCGGAGGAAGGTATATTCTCCTCCGACTCAGACTCATATTGCAAACCTATTATCCTGGACAAGCGTCCACTATCTGAAGCGTAGTCAGAAGAGGCACCTGCTTCCAGATGTTGTTTGTCTGACACTTCAGTGTTCTTGTCCCTTCCTTCACCATCGTCTCATTTGTTATGAGGAAGAGAGCCATTAACCTGGTCTGCTTCCTCATTGTCTTTGTTCACGACGTTAAGGCATCTTAGGGACTGCTTGTTAGCCATTGAACACTTGGGGTCTGAGGCATAGTGACCGGTGCAGTTGCATCGGTAGCACACTACCTTGGACTTATCGACTGGCACAGCCTTGGCCTCGCCCTGATTGGGTTGGTTCGAAGATGGACGCAAACAATCTTGTCGCTCACGTCAGTCTTTACGGCCATCGCTGTCACGTTCAGGTCATTCGCGAGAGCACTGCAGCCTTTCCCTATGATGATCACGAGGAAAATGACTAGATTGATTGTCTGAGGAACGCCTTGATGACTCTCGATTGCTACGGGAAGGTGCATCACCCTGGGTCTTCAAAGACGATGGTGCTGCCACTGTCTTCGCTGACACCATGAATGCCTGTCGTTTTTGCCAAGTCTCTGCACTGGCGTTGAGGTCCTCGATCTGAAGGGCACTCTCGAGAAGCCTCTCAGCACTTGAGTTCATGGGGTTTCGTCCATGAAGTTCTTCAATCCAAGTAGATATGGATACTGGGAGTCCATCCATGAACCGTCAAGCAAATGAATACGAGTCCAGGTGGACGACCATTTGCCTGGCATACTTGTCCAGGTTTTGGAAGAACCTGTTCACTCCAGTGTGAGATGAGTAGCGCACGGAATCGTACTTGTAGGCTGCGTCCTTAATCATACTGGACTTCACAAAGCACAAGTACATTGAGCAGAAGGTTCCTGCCAATGTCACTCTGTGATCTCCTAGTACTAGGAGATTTGGTTCGACATCCTCGCAGAACCAAGTGGCAGGCTCACCTTCCAATTGGTTTCCTAAGAACAGGACTGCTTCCAACTCTAAGTCAGATACGTTTAATCTTGCAAGGTACGCAAACCAGACGAACTTCAAGAAGAACGTCCAGAATTTGTTGTGATCAGAGCTACCATCATATGTGGCAGTAATCTCTAATTTTACCTTGACCAAGGAAGGGAGCTTAGGCAGCTCTCTTTCTAAGTTTCAGTCAATATGGTCTCCTATAGCTGTGAATATTGACTCGATAAGAGCAGGCACAGTTGTAGTCACAGGAGGCCGCGCGACGTGGACGGACGGGCCAACATGGATGGATGGATTATAACTCCATTCCGCCAAATTGGCGGTTCCAGTGGCCGCCGCCGTCCTCTTCCTTGTCGTCTTAGAGGCTGCGGTTTCTTGTTGCGTGTACCCGGAAATGGACAATAGTGGGGCCATTGTTGAAGGTACAGGGTTTATCTGTACATTCAACAGCCCTGCTCACCCACTTCATTGTGGTTGAACGTCTTGCCCTGCAGGCACTTGTTGTCGTGCACGTCCAGGTGTGAATTGCTTTGATGGTCCTGTGAAGGAGGTGGTATGGGCTTTGCCATCTCCTTCTTCATCTCTGGAGTCTTGCTCTTCTGTGTCTTCATTGGGCTTACCTTCAGATTCATCATCTGACCCATTGCTCCCGTCATCTCCACCTTCCCCATCATTAACCCCGTGTTCTCCATGTCCACTGCTACCGCCATAGTTCCCTCCTTGGCCCTGTTCATCAGGCCCATCCTCATCCGAATGGACAGTGCTATCAGCTGTCTTGTTTGGATCAGGATGTAAACCGGCTTGGTGGAGGTGTTCATTCGAGCTTGAACTATGTCAGGCTTGCATGGCGTGAGACTGAGGCTCTGAGATGGGGGGAATTCTTCCATTGTCTGGGGGATTCCCTCCATAGTTAGTAGCAGGGAGATTGAAGGGTATGATAGGGTCCGCTCTAGCCTTCCCTTTGTTCTTCGGGCTGGGTTGGGGCTCAGGGGAAGGCAACGTGGACAACTTGTCTTAAGCACAGTAGAGCCTCTGACTTTCAAATAACCCAAAGGGGAAACGCCCTTGGTATAGTGCACGAGTTCACTATTTGACTAACCCTAGACTGCAAGAGCTAGTGGCGTCATTATTTGAGACTGTGGTACGTCTCCTGTAGAGCTTACAGTAATTAGACTAGCAGTAAAGAGATTATTTCTATTCTTGATCTTCAACTCTTAATTGGAAGCTTCAGACTGCTTCAAGTTATACAAATCCTCCAAGGACATTGAATTGTCCTTACTAACCAAAGCTTACTAAATTAACCAAGACATTAACTTGTCTTTGTTACCCTCTTATCTTAATTATCTAAAAACCCTATTCTACTAACCCAAGTAGCTAGTCCTTAAGCTACTAACCAAACCTTCTTACAGCCCATCTTCTAGGATTCCTTAAAAGTCCCTTGTAAACAGGCAAGTGAGGCTTTAGAGTACTCAAGCAAGATTAGTAGGTGGTCTTTGAATTAGTCCCCCACGAACACCAGGATAGCTTGGTTGAAAGGCTAACCCAGTGAACTCTGGAAAGAAAAGATTGGGAAAACCAAATCTAAGTATTCCATACTATACCCTTCTTGCTTTTAGTCTAGAACAGACCAAACTTCATTCTCTTTTATCAAGAAGTAGCCTTCTAGGATTCTTCTAGAATCTTCTTTATACCAAACCTCATTTTATTTTTACTTACTTTTCTTATCCTAA